AACATAATCATCATCTTCCCATTACCGCCACCATCAATGTCGTCATCAAAAATCATTATATTCTTCATTATATACATCATCCTAGTATTCATCATCTACATCATCATCATCATCCTCATCCTCATCCTCATCATCATCATCTTCATCACCTTCATTATCATCAACATCATTATCATCATCAACAACAACTTCATTATCATCATCTTCATCACCGGCATCACATTTATCATCAGGTTGATCATCCGTATCTTCGTCATCAACATCAACACAATATTATCGACCTTATCATCAGCTTCGTCATCATAATCATCGTCCTCATCTTCACAATATTTTATTCATCATCAACATCATCGCCATCGTCATCATCAAAATTTTCATCATGATCATGATCATCATCGTCATCATCATAATCTTTATCATCTTTCTCATATAATGATGTAAATCATCGTTTTCATCAGCGTAATCATAATCACAAATAACATTTTCTACATCATCATAAACTTCGTCATCAGTAACATGGTTATCATAATCATCTACATCATCATCAGCATCAACATCAGCATCATCATAATCATCATCATCATCCTCACGCTCTTCTTAATCATCGTCATCATCACCAGCCACAACTTGTTCAACATCATAATCATCAACCTCAACAACATCATCAACAATATCATCAACCTTGTCATCATGGATATCCTCATCGTCATACGATTCATCGTCATCATCTTCGTCATTGTCATCGTCATCATCAACTTCAGCATCAGCATCAAACACATAATAATCATCATCATCATCAATATTATCATCGTCATCATCAACACCATCCTCAGAAGCAACGTCGTCGTCACCACGGTCATCTTTATCCTAAGCATCATCATCAAAATAATCATCATATTCAAACTATTATCGTCATCGTCATGGCCATTTAATTCACTAACATAACTATCGTCATCATCATCATCGGCATTGTTATAATCAACAACGTCAACATCATCCACAACATCCTCAAAATTACATCATCATAATCAACACCGTCATCCTAAACCTCATCATCATTATCATCATCATCATCATCAGCATCAACATCATCGGCAGAATGCTGTGTACCATTAACATCATCATTATCAATAACAGCATCATCATCATCATCATCACCATGATCATCATCAAGGTCAAGGCCAAAGCCTTCGGTTTGAAAGAGCGTTCGCTCCGATCTCAGGCCAGTTTCTTCAATATTTTTGTGTCATCTATTGTTTTACCTTGTCGTGAATTATGTAGTTCTATATAATACTTGATTCTGCGTTATCCGGTGATATATTTATATATATAGTAGCCGTACGTTTCTCGTTTTTTGTCCTCCTAACGATTTTTTGATCTTAGTGGTGACGTGCCCTTATCCTGTTAGGCCAATTTTATCTCGTTGATTTTATTGTTATAACAGTGTCGTCCTCTAGTTCACATAATTAATTCTAGCTAGTCATTTAGCGTTATACTTCGTAACTATCTGTAATAATTCAGCATAACTTCTGTGTCTCTTAATTACACCCATTTGCTCGTATCGATCGTAGTTATTTTTAAAATGACGAAGCAGTCTCCTTGTGGAATTTGCTGCAAGATCGTCGGACATAGAGCTAATGCGATTTCATGCAGTCTCTGCAGCGCAAGGCTTCATATTTCGTGCGTTGGTCTGACTGTAGACCAATTTCGTATAATTCAGGGCATTAAGAGCGAATTTTTGAAGACCGTTTGTAAGCAATGCCAAGCTAATCTTGTGCAGAATAAAACGGACACGTCTAACAAGCGGATCAGCACAACGAAGTGCTCTAAAATGCCCAGCTCGCCTTGTGCTTCACCACAGTCAGTGAAGCAGCCAACGCCTAGTACCTCGTCGCATCCATCGCGGAAACAAGGTACTAAAGTTCCATCAGACTCTCCCTCAAGACCTACTATATGTTCAGCTGACAGTAAAGTTCCAATTTGCAATAAACAAACTGAGGATAACGATTGGAGAGTACAAACATCGAAGAAACCAAGACCAATATCTAATGACCTGAGGCGCCGTAGCCTCATGGTCTTTTACGCACCTGAGTCAGGTGATTCTAATCCTCAGGTGCGTTATGCACATGACGTCGAATATTTGCAATCATTGATTGACAAACTACTCGATGTAAATGAGGACGGGCTCAAAGTTCAGCAGATCGCCCGTCTAGGAAAGAGAATGGAGGGCAAAAGTCGGCCCATGAGGGTGACATTTGCCGAAGAAGCAAGTACCAAGTTACTATTGTCTCGCCTTAATAGGCTGAAGGGTATGAAGATCCACGTGCGCGCTGACTTAGAACCGGCAGACAGAGAGAAACTCAAGTCTGCCATGATTGAACTAAAGCGGCGCACGGAGGATGGAGAAACAAACCTCCGTATTGTAAATTTTCGAGTAGTTGCCCGGGTTCCTCCACGAATCCGGATCAACAGGTTGCTAATACTTCAGGCGCGCCCAGCGGGTCCTACCGCGGTCTGCGCGTAGCCTTTACTAACGTATGCAGTTTGATGAACAAGCGCGATGTGCTGTACGACTTCGTAAGCTCTCAGCGACCGGACGTATTAGGCCTTGCTGAGACATGGTTAAACTCCGAGGTAAACGCCCAAGAAGTGGAAATCACCGGCTACTCATGCTTCCGCTGTGATAGACCATCAAATGATCGCGGTGGCGTTCTACTTTACATAAAGTCTTCCTTGTGTGGGAGACTAGTGAGCGCCTATCAAAGCGCTGATGGTCTATGTGAGCAGTTATGGTGTTCGATACACCTCAGACGCTGCGAGTTGCACGTGGGCGTGGTATATCGCAGCCCACTGAGCCGCAGTTTGGACTGGTTGCCGCATGTCCGCAACCACATGAGTCGTCCGATGTTCCTACTCATGGGCGATTTCAACTTGC